TTTTGAAGTCTGTCAAGGGAGGAACTGAAAGTTTCAATATATTTGATTGTGAATTTCATCTTCTTTTGATTTTCTTTGATATTTCTTTGAATATTTTCTTTTATTTTTCTTTATTCTGTTCCTATTTTCTTTTATTTCATAGGAACACCCTGTTCACTGCAAGTCTAAATTAGCACAATTCTTATTTTGCTCTCCCAAGGCAGTAACACTAGAGACTTCAGTTGTTGATGGGTGAGTTGGGTTGAGGAAATTTGTACTTTGCATGTATTCTCATGTATGTAATGGTTTTTTATGATTTAATAAATAAACAACACCAACCTGATTACGGGATTAAAAAAAATATATAATAATAATTAATAAAACCATAGCATTTAAGTATTTAGATATAAATTATTAAATAATAATAATTTTCAACAAAAAATAAATTAAATATAAAAAAATTAAACCTATATAAAAATAAAAATTATCAAAATATATAATTAAAAAAATCCATCAATCTCATTGATTAAATTAATCAATTAAAAATTAAAACATAATAAAGAAATTAAATAAGTTTTTAAATCAAAAATAAATAAAGTATGTTAGGCAAGACCTGATTAATCAATAAAAAAAGTAATAATTATTACTTGTTCTTTTTTTTAAAAAAACATTTTATTTTTAAAAACTTATTTAGAAGATTTATGGCAAAAATATTTTATAGAAATAAATTAACAAGAAAAAGTATCTTCCAAATATGTTATTGCTAGTTCTGTCGGAAGTGAATTCACAAATTCTTGTTCGTTGACCGGAGGCATGATTGGTGAAGCCTGGTTATCAGCATTTTCAGTGATTTTGTCCTTCTTCATCGAATCTTTTGTTTTCATCGTCCAATTGTGGCTTTTGGATATTAATAAAACATAAAGGAGCCTTTCTTTTAAATCTACATTTAACAGCAGATGCTATTTCCTTATACCATCTTTTAATATGCTCCGGTTCGTTTTTCCAAGAATTACCCGATAATTTTGATATGTCCTCTAAAGGCAAACCAAGTTCTCTGGCTTCGTGATTATATACCATTCGATAAATAAGAAAAGCGTTTGTTGTTTTATTAACATTTTCAATACCATTTTTTGAATGCTTTTCAATTATTTCATCGACGGTAATCGGCGGAGGAAAGGGTAATTCAACTTTGCAATTGTATTGATCACGAACAACCATTTTTTTCGACATTGTGAAAATAGACTGTCAAAAAACTTCTTGGGTTGTGGACAGATCGAATATAAATTGGAGGAGTACGGAGTATTTAGCAGACATTTTTTTAATTAATGCCTTGATTGGAAATGAGTATGAGCAAAGATTTGACCTTGGGAGATCACAGATCAGAACGATTAAATATATATACTATATACAGTATATATATATATATATATAATTCTTTTATTATAATCTTAAACTAATATTTATATACAGTATGTATGCTATATAGTATTACTAAAAGAGAATATTAAAATCTACCTATGTCAGTGTTCGAAAAATAGCAATAATACAAATTAACCAAAATTTTGTATGTCTAATAATAATAATAATTTTTTCCAAAAAATAAAATAACTTATGAATTGATAGTATGTTAAATAAATTAATTAATATGACAAGATCCTTTTAGACAAACATCTTATAACAAATAATGTTTGATTCAACTTGTACTATTTACATTAATTCTTACTGTAAAATTTTTTTGAAATTTTCATTTAAATCCAAAATTTTTAAAATTTATTAAAAAAAAAAGAATTACAAAATAATAGATTAAAATTTTATAATGCATTTTCTGAATATAACACAAAGGCGTTCATCCATCATTACATAAGGAAAATTTGTTAGCCATGAATTAAAGAATATTTATTAAAGAAAAACAGGTTGTGAAGCGCAACAATCTCTATATCATGAGGTAACAGAAAAGTATCATAACTATTATTAATCTAATGTTGAATGCGTATTTTTGTCGGTTAAAGATTTATTATCGTCAAATCTTTGCTTGATATTATATCCACAGAGTACAAACGTATACGTACATAAACTAAATAACGATTAATTTCTCGTTCGTCTTTTGGCTTTATATAACATTATAATTCACAAACTCATTATCCGTTCATCTGTGATCATCTCTTTCTCTTGACTTGCTGCGATGTCGATATGTTTCAGGACTCTCCTTGTACCTACGCTTATTCTCCCCATCTTTGGACCTGCTGTGGCGACGTCTGTTATGATGACGTGACGAATGATGTTTTTTGTGTTTACGACTACTGCTGCGAAGTTCTTCCTTTGAATTACTTATATATTTGGAACGGGAGGTCCTTCTGTCGTGATCATCCTTCTCGAGAGACTCACGTCGATGTAATCGGTGATAGGATTTATTACTACGGTGCTTGTGTGATGATGAATGACGCCGTTTTTCAGGTGATGAAGAGGGTGTATACTTTTCAGGAGACGGAGGGGTAGAAGGCCTATCATCGTTCGTCGGGGATATTTCATCATCAAGTAGCGGCGTATCATCCTCGTTGGTTGAAACATCGATAACGTTATCATCATCATCATCATCGTCTTCGGATGCTAGTATAGGCTTAGGAGAACGTGAACGCGTTCGACGTTCAACGTCATCAGAAAGTTGTTCTGCATATACGGATGGACTGATTCTATCGTCTTGCACATCAACATCTGAATTATGATACTCTTTTCCATTTTCTTCATGCGTTGACTTCGTAACAGAAGGCGTTCTTGATAGATTTTTGGACAATCGATCGTCAAAAAAATCGTTGGACGACGATTGATTGCGAACCTCTTCCTTCCTATCATCCATCGAGACTCGTCGATTATCTTTTTTTTCACCGATAGTATCGCGTTTCTCGTATCGCGAACCGTACGAACCACGGCGGTCGTCCCGCCTATCACTAGTTGAATCACGCCGATCATCCCTTCTATCCGACAAAGCGGAGTCCCGCCTATCATCCCTTCTTTCTGGTAACGCCGAATCACGCTTATCTCTTCTGTCAGACAATCCAGAATCATGCCTGTCGTCTCTCCTCTCGGAAATATTTGAATCACGCCTATCATCCCTTTTGTCAGATGCAGAGTAACGGCGATCATCGTAATATCGCCTATCATCTGAGTATCGACGGTCATCAGAATAAAGACGTTCGTCTTTCCTATCTACAACCTCCCGACTTCGACTACGACGCCTTGAAGAAATTGATGACTTACGACGAATATCTAATGACGAACGATCATTCCTTGAGGGTGATCTGCTGTGACGCGAATCTTCACGATGCCGCCTGGATGAACGGTGATGAGATCTGCTTCTACTCCTTCGAGAACGTTCCTTGCTTCTACTACGAGTCGGTGCTTTCTCTCTGGGTCTTCGACTTTCCATATCTTCGTCTTGTATCACGTCTCTATCACGTCTATCATGCTCGGAAACGGGAGACTGTTTATCTCGAATATCATCTTTATCCACTGAATTACGAGAAACGGATGATTTGCGGCGTGCCATGTCGCGACCAAAATCGTCAACAAGTCGTTCATCATCATATTTAGGCTCATCATCACGAAATTCAGGCCTTTCTGAACTAAAAATAAATAAATTAATGTTAAAACAAGAAGGAAAATAAATCCGAAAAATTACATTACATACATTTCTCGCCTTCCAGTTGATGGAGACGCACTTGCATCGCGCCTGAAATCGCCACCTCCGCGCCCACCCGGAAATGTACGGTCATTAAAAAATGTGCCCCTCCCGCGACCACGTGCACGATTTTGGAAACCGCCTCGCGAAAAGCCACGTTGAAAACCACCTCTGAATGCCGGCATTCCAGATACTCCCCCCATGTTATATGGTGTAAAGTTACCCTGTGGTTGCATTACCGGTCTGTTGTCCCAGAAATCGTCATACATTGGAGGTCTAAAGTGTGGCATGAATTGTGGTTGAGAAGGGAATGGCTCTGAAGGATAAAATCCATCGAAATAGCCCGGATCATAATAGCCCGGCCCGTTCATCATGTTCATGTTCATTTGGGGATAAACACCTAATTAATGATTCCTCTATTAGAATAAAAAACCAGAAAAAAAAAGGAAAGAGAAAGAAACATCCAATGATGATCGCTATTCTTATACCTTCATCGTACCAGTAACCTTGACCTTGATCATAACCAAGTCCATAATCGTTATAGTATCCAAATTGACCGTATCCCTGTGAGGATATTGGGTTTTGATTGAATGATTTTCCGGGAGCATTAGAATATTGATGCTGTCGTTGATTTTGCATTTGTTGCGATTGCTGAAAGTGTTGAGGTTGCGATGATTGTGATGTGTGTGATATTTGCGATTGCTGTGAAGTCGATTGTGTCTGTGATGGCATATCGTGGGTTGGCTTTCTTGGTAAATCTGTCTTATTGCTCTGTTCGATAGATAACGGATTAAACGACCGAATGATAGATAGTAGATTCAGTAGTTCAATATATATCTTACCGATTCTATTTTTGACTTGTGACTTTGAGAAGATTGACCAGCATCTTCGGCGCCGCCAACCAATGTTTCTGTTATATCACTCATGCTTTTCTCTTTGTCTTCCATTTTTATCGTGGTTTCACTGTTTAATGATTCAACCGTTTCCTTTTCCTCGGAAATATCAATATTATTGCTATTATCAACCATGATCTCTTCAATAACACTTCCCTCATCTTCAACATTAGTTTTAGTAACAGTATGTTCATTCCTACGTCTAGCCCAATCTCTCAAATGATCTTCCACTGCTTCCCTTGCTGATTTGTTTGGCACAAGCTCATCGGGAACCAAATTCGATCGACAGTTTGGACACTTGAAATGCTGATCTTCTTGTTCGGGTTCGATCAGAGCGTGACGAATGCCTATGATAATTCAACCAAATCATTTTATGTCACGCAAGAGATGCATATTTTTTTGATTATTTGTAAGGAAAAAAAAAAAAAAGAAAGAAAGGATCATTTGTTAGTGAACTATAAGCTAAATTTGATTTCGGGGGATAATCTTGAAAGAAACGCTAGGGTTCGAAGTTAGCATGTTGAACGAAACTTTTAGGAGGAAAATATATTTGCCCTTGACTTCACGCATATCTTGATATAGAAAAAACCTTTCACACTTTTTCTCTGAATCGTTAATTGATTGCCGAGAAAAATTACCCATTATATTAAAGCTGCGATTAGATTCATCATCACATTACAAGGAAATCTCACAATGGACAATGGACAGAAAAGAGTCATCACTCTTCTCGGACAGAGGAAATGACACTGTCGAATAAAAAAAATCGGAACTATCTAAGGGAGTTAAGTAGTTTGACATATTTACAATAATTTTTAAGAATTTTTTTTTTTCTTTTGATTTTGACATTGGACGCACTACTAAACTCCTCTAGAGAGAAATTTTTTTTTGGAAAAAGATGAAGGGATGTTTATTTTACAACAAAAATGTTGTGTACCAAACCATAGTATTGAATGCAAATGATATAAAGGGAGTAATATAAAAAATAGAAACAATTGATCATTCTCTAACCTAGCCTGTCTAATCTGTCTATTGAGTTCACAACGCGTGCCCAAAAAGTATTGCCAATATCGACAACAATAACGATACGTACATTCATCACAAAATGAAGCCTGACAACACGGCGTTATAACAGCTTCTTTGAGTAGTCGATTGCATAACATGCATTGAAGTTCAGCCGGGATTGGAAGCGTGTCTTCAAGAACCTCGTTGGAGGTCACGTATGCTTTCTGACGGGCATGGATCTTTTGCCACGCAGCACTAGTACAAATTAGAGATTAATGTCGGTTAATATACTGTGATCTGCTTCTTGTAAGCATTTAATATCAATTTGAATAACGTTATACTCACTCGTTAGCCTGTGCTATTACCAGATTTCCGTCTTGTGTCACAAGAACACCTTTCCCTGGTGGCACTTGCTCAACTTTTTGCAAAAAACTTCTCGGTATTCCTGTCGTCTTCCTTACTTTCATGTGATCAAAAGATCTATCCCCGTTTGTGGGACAAGCTTGAATCCAATGTCCTATGTATTCATGATTTCGGTTTAGCTCAAAAAACTATTCAATAACCAAATAAAATTTCAAGAGTACTAAATCTCAATGTATCTACCTTTTTGACCGCACCTGTAGCACACATAATTAGGTGGTAGAGCTTTCTGAATCACTGGTTTCAGGGGTGGGCGGACAGGAGGAGCCCTTCGCATGACGGGTTTACTGGAATAATTAATTTATGATCAAATATCATTCAAAGGAACGGTATCACATAAAACAGAAGAATAAAGATCTCTGAACTTACGAAGCCATCTGTTCTTGAGTTCTCTCCCAAAATTCGGTTGATTGTGCGAACATTGCTGCAATTTTATCTTCTTCTGTTTGTTCTTCGTTCATACCATGGGAAGTAACCGGAGTTGGAGTAGATCGTGAAGCCTGTTGGGGTTGCTTTGATGGATCAAATGTTTTTGTCATCGATCTAAAATTTCAGGATTTGTCTTGTCAAATTTGAGGAAAAAATTTTTTAACCATGATATAATAAAATGATATAGTATAGTTTCATACCCATTGGTGGGTCCTGCACCACCTCGACTATTTACAGGAAAGTTCCTCTGTGAAGCCGGACCCCCTCCCTCTAGATAGCGCTGTGCAGTACCTTTTCCTGGTTTGGTTGGAACTCGACGAACCACAATGGGCGTGTTTCTTGGAATGGTCGCCGTATCTTCCAGGTAATCTAAATAATTCAAAAAATTTTTTTCAGAAATCTTTAACTGAAAAAAACATAAATAGAAAGCAAGGCATATTTCGAAGAGATCCTAACCTTCACCGGATTCGGCGTGGGATATTACGATGTCGAAGTCATTTCCTTTTAATTTCTTAGCGGTTAAAATCTCTTTTTTTGCATCAAACACAGTGATTCCTAATCCGTCAAAGGTGAGTGTGTCGTAATCTTTAGCACTTTTAAACTTGTAATAAATTTGAGCCATTTCGATAAAGCAAGTTTTACGTGCGAAATGAAAAACAAAATCTCTTTAGTTATTGCGTCTATAAATACCGATGAAGTTTGTCCATCACATGATTCCTTTTTTGTTTAGTAAATATATACAGATTTTTTCCACTTTTAGTATTAAAGAAAGTGAAATATTTACATAAATGTTACCAAAGATATTTTCACGATTGTAGTTTATCCATCAGAAAAAAAAAAAAAAAAAAATTGCTTGGATCTTTGGATTTTTTTACATCTTTACATCGAAACTAATGTGTCAATGAAGATTACCTTTTTATTAATGTCAAGGAGACACTTTACAAAGTTTCCCCAAAAATTATTATTATTCCGAATTCCTATCTAATAATTTTTTCTCTGTACAAAGAATAGGAATATAATATAACAATAAAATAAAATTAATGAAATTCTAAACATAATCGATATTAAATTTGTAAAACCTAATCATATTTTTGAAACTGGATTAACTAAAGGCGATCTTCAACGGCAATTCCCATGGGATCTTTATGTAACCTTGATTCTCTCCGGAGGTTACATTCGCACATCATACGTGTCGAGTAATATCAATAATTTCTTGTTATCTGGTCCCTTTAACTCTCCACTTAGACCTTATCGAAGATGGATTTGCGCTCCTGGGTATCAGACAATACCCTCAAGGTATCTGCTCGAAAACTATTTCTTTAAGGATTGAAGTGAATCTTACTTTTTTTAAACTCTTTTCGATTCCAGCTTCTCGGGATGTCCGAAAGAACGATAGTCGACTACATAATCGCGGAAGGTTTGTTTCAATTGTTTTGATGTACTTTTGAATCGGCTTCAGTTTTTAAGATAATTTTAGCACAATCCTCAAAGGGTAAGGATTCCTTGTACGAAAAGTTGAATCACCTGTTCCCCACCACGGAAGCCCGGCTATTCATCGAAGAGCTATTCGATCGTGTCCCTCACAAAGACTCGACCCAATCGGCTGTAAGTCGAGTTAATCGCTCTCAAGATCCGACCATTGATTAGACCATCACTAAATATCATAGTTTGTATCTTTTGCAGAACTCTTCCACTAAACGAAAAAGGAAAGAACAAGAGGCGAAAAACTTGATTGAAAGTACAAAGTCCTATAAATTCGTGCAAGATGTAGACCTCGACGATGATAAACACTTGTCCAAAAAATCAAAAAAGAAGAAAAATTTGCGCAAAAAAGACTCGAATGATGATTGGGGGAGCGATTCCGAAGGAAAAAAAGAAGTAAATCAAAAGGAGATAGGTAAGTTTATTTGATTTTTTGTTTGCTTTTTTTGAAATTTATTAAACATCTATACTTTACTAAAATTCACAGAATCTGAAGACGAATATACTAAAGAAGAAAAAGAGAGGATTCAGGATCTTAAAGAAAGGGACGAATTTGCTAAGCGATTGAGAGATAAGGACAAAGAAAAAGTTAAAAAGGTTAGATATTTTTATTAACCTCGTTAATGACCATATGCTTAATCTTCCAATTTTCTTAGCTCGTGGAAGATCGATCGTCAAAAGCAGAGAGTGAAGCTGCTAAGCGTCGGAACCTCGCTGATGATTCAGAGGCGCGTAAGCAAGTATTGCCGGATATTCGAGAACGCTCTCGCCAAGAATATTTAAAAGATAGGACCGATAAACAATTGAAAATGTTGGAATTGGGGATACTGGATGAAGAAACTTTTTTTAAAGATGAAAAACTAACGAAGAATGAAAGAAGAAATTTGGAATCAAAAAAGGAGAAATTCGGATTGATACAAGAGAGGCTTCGTTTGTCGGCCAAAGATGACGGATATGCAATGCCAGAAGGTGCCTTTTTTTGTTTTCGCGTCGGGTTTCACAATGTTTCAATAGTGCAATTGGTGATTTTAATTTCTTAATTTCTTTAATGTAGATTACATAACAGAGAAAGGAAAAATTGATAAGAAAAAAAAAGAGTCTGTTTTGTATCAGCGATATGAGGAAGATCGTGATCCGAATAAACATGTTACGGAACAAGAGCAGTGGGAGAAAAATCAAATAGACAAGTCCCAACTTAAGGTTGGAGCTCGGGACAAAATCAAGGAGGAAGATGAATATGACTATGTTTTCGATGATCAGGCGATTGATTTCCTGGATTGGGATTGGAAACTGAATAACAAGGATGACGAAGTTGTTGCTCGAATCGATGAAGCTGAACGAAAAGGTATAACGATTTCCGAAAAAAAAATAAGAATTATGTAGTCACACTCAAAAATATAAACCGTCTTTATTTATTCAGCAAAATCGATCGAAGAGACTCGAAAATTCCTACCCATTTATTCTTTTCGTGAGGAATTACTTAATGCAATAAATGACTATCAAGTTTTGGTAATTGTTGGTGAGACAGGTTCAGGAAAGACAACACAACTTCCACAATATTTGTCTGAGGCAGGTTATACCAAGGGAGGCAAAAAGATAGGTTGTACTCAACCAAGGAGGGTAGCAGCCATGAGTGTCGCTGCGCGTGTAGCCGAAGAAATGGGAGTTAAACTCGGATATGAGGTAACTAGCTGTGCTATTCGAGGTTTCTACTTCTCGAATATCACCGTTAATTAATCCTGGTTTATTAGGTAGGATACTCTATTAGATTCGAAGATTGCACTACTGAAAAAACGATCATAAAATATATGACGGATGGTATGCTGCTTCGCGAGTTTTTGACCGAGCCACTACTGGATGGTTATAGTTGTCTGATCATTGATGAAGCGCACGAGAGAACTTTGCACACCGACATTCTATTTGGTCTAGTTAAGGTAACTAATACTCTGTTAATCAATACAATTCTTTGCCGTTAATCTTATTTATCACCTTTTTATATTCAACAAACAAATACTTAGGATATTGCTCGAGTTAGACCTGATCTTAAGCTTTTGATTTCTAGTGCTACTTTAGATGCCAAAAAGTTTGCTGATTACTTTGATGAGGCACCCATTTTCAACAGTGTGTATTTTCGTAATGGAATATTAACTTATACTTCCATGCTAATTTTTTGCTTTAACTACTAATAGTCCCTGGAAAACCTTATCCAGTACAAGTTTGCTATACCAAAGCACCTGAGGCAAATTATGTATCAGCTGCTATTACTACCGTCATGCAATTGCACATATCTCAAAAGAGCGGTGATATATTAGTTTTTCTTACGGTTAGTTTCAAAAACATTCTTTCAACATATTTATTGGGTCAAGTTTTAGTTGACAAAAATTTTTGAATTTTTATCAAGGGTCAAGATGAAATTGAAACAGTTCAAGAAAGTTTGCAACAAGCGTGTAGAGTTCTCGGAAGCAAGATACGGGAATTGATAATATGTCCTATTTATGCGAATCTTCCTCCTGATATGCAGTCCAAAATATTTGAACCAACGCCACCTGGAGCACGGAAGGTAATGATATTTTACTTGATTTCTATAATCATGAAAATATTACTTATTTTACTTTAAATTTATAGGTCGTCTTGGCCACTAATATCGCTGAAACTTCCATTACGATTAACGGTGTATCGTTTGTAATCGACCCCGGTTTCGTCAAACAAAATAATTACAGTCCAAAAACACGAATGGAATCCCTATTAGTAGTTCCTGTGAGCATTTATTATAATTTAAAATAATCCGATTTGATGTCATCCGATTTACCTAATGTTTTTTTAGTGTTCGAGGGCATCTGCGGTCCAGAGAGCTGGTAGGGCCGGACGCGTGGGCCCGGGTTTCTGTTTCAGGCTATACACCAAACACGCGTTTGCCAATGAACTAGAAGAAAATACAATTCCCGAGATCCAAAGGACTAATTTGAGTAATGTCGTTTTGACTCTAAAGGTATTCTCGTTTTACTTATTCATCACATGAATCGTTTATTGGTTCTTGAAAGATCTGAAATCTTTGGAATTTCATAATTGCATCGCTATAGAGTATAGGAATTAATGATGTGATGAAGTTCGAGTTTATGGATCCTCCTCACGAACAAGCTTTAATTTCGGCGCTTAACGATTTGTATGCGCTTGGTGCTTTAAACAATAACGGTGAACTGACGAAACTGGGGCGGCGCATGGCCGAATTCCCTCTGGATCCATTCCTATCCAAGAGTATAATATGGTCGGAAAAATATCATTGTACAGATGAGGTATGTTATAAGGAAGTTACGACGTCTTGAATATGGAATGCCTGGACACTTACTTGTTCTCGAATATCTTAATTCCCTTTCATTTTATATTCAAGGTTATATCGATAATTAGTATGCTTACTGTACAAGGCTCTGTATTTTATCGTCCTAAGGATAAGAAGTTTCACGCGGATAAAGCTCGTCAAAATTTTGTTCGTCCCGGAGGCGATCATTTTACTTTGCTTAATGTATGGGAACAGGTGAGTTCCTGAAATAATTGTCTCTTCAAAACCTAAAATCTTCAGATATTAATAATCTTCTACTGTAAACTTAAGTGGGTTGATACCAATTATTCAATGGGCTGGTGCTATGAAAATTTTGTAGTCTATCGTTCCATGGCACGAGCAAGGGACGTTCGTGATCAGCTAGCCGGCCTTTGCGAACGTGCCGAGGTAGATCTGGAATCAAATCCTAATCCCGGAGATATAGTGCCGATTCAAAAGGTTATATTTTCATTTGAGTCAGTATTATTAAGTCGACATTACTAACTCGACACGTAATGTTTAAATTACAGTCAATTGTATCAGGATTTTTCATGAATGCCGCTCGTATTTCCCGCTTCGGAGACTCTTACCAGAAAGCCAAATATGGAGATTCTGCAAGAACAATACATGTTCATCCGAGTAGTTCACTATTTGAAGTTAATCCAAAATGGGTCATCTACTATGAATTAGTATTGACTAGTAAAGAGTATATGCGCCAAGTTATGGAAATTCAATCCGAGTGGCTAATAGAAGGTTTTTTTTTTTTTCGTCTATAATTTATTTCTTGATAAAATATTAATTGTTAACAATGTGATTTAATTTTAGCTGCCCCATACTATTATTCGAAAACGGAACTGGATAAGCTAGAAGACAAAAAGAAAATGCCAAAGAATCGACAAGCCACACAATCCACGGTTACGATATGACGAATATTTGACGTTCCAAATAATAAATACTTGATAACCCCGTAAGAAACTCGTTGTATAGTGTATAATTGAAGAATTTAAAATTAAAATCAATTTTAAAAATTAAACAAAATCTTTACTAAAATTAATTGATTTAGTTATGTATGATAAAGACATTTTCATTTTAATGTAAACGATTTATTACCTTTTTTACCTTAAAATTATACTCTCACAATAGTGATCAAACCATTTCCACTTAAAAACTTTCTATTTATAATGTATATTGCAGCAGAATGGATTAAAAAAAATTTTTTTTCTTCTAAATATTGACCATAGTCACTATTGCTATTAAATGTTATGAAAAGAAATCAAAATAATGATTTCAAAATTAACAGTAATATATATTTCTTCTTCACATATAACAAATTATTTTTTATTTAAATATTCTCAAACAATTCTTAATTGGTAATAATTTTTTGGGCATAATCATTTTTATATAATACCCAATTTGATTTCTTTCTGAAACAATGTGATAAATCTTTATGACAGATAAAATAATCTCAATCAAACATATAAAAGATATATTTACTAAATACACATTTAAAAAAACAAATCTGTATTTATCTATTTGTTTATTATTTATCAAAAATTTTTTATAAAATTTTAAATTAAGATTTATAAAAAAAAATGGTACTTTATTATTAGGGTCATTATAGAATCTACACAAGATAAATTTCAACAATGGTTCATACCTTGTTAGTCAAGAATTATATAAGCAAAGTTGCATTCAAACGAAAAAGTTAATGCTTAAATAGAATGAAATCAATTGGTATTAAAAAACTTATATACGGTTCGAAAATTTGCACCCGCAATAAAAAGCATTAACAATGAAATCAGAATATATAGAACAGACGCTAATAATTTTGGTCTGGTTTATTTGGTATCGAAATAGCAGTTTAAGATTTATGTTCCATTTACAAATAGCCTAGATTTACATCATTCGCTAATTAACGCCTAAACCTATTACCATAAATCCATCGCCCTTGGACGATTTCTTTTTCGACTCGTTATATCGCTTGATTCACCTTGTCGATTTTCATGCGAACGATTGGTAATACTTTGGGTAGATGTTTGAATCAAGTTCCTTCTATTCGGCAATTTGACTTCTTGATCCAAAGACATATCATCATTCGAATGTTTTTTTCTTCTTTCACTGGATTCCTCATTCTCACGTTTCTTCTTTTTAGTTTTCCTGTGCTTTTCATCGTGATCACTATCATTTTTGTGAGTCCGTTTCTTTGACTTTTTCTTGGAACTAGAGTGGGCGTCTCTCGAGTGTTTTTTCTTCTTTTCCGTCTTGCGCTTCTTGGAATGTTTATGACTATGTGATCGTTTACTTTCATTTTGTAAATTTAAGTCACTTTCATCACTAGATGATTCGCTCGTATGAGAATCACGTTTCGATGATGCAGTAATGTCCATCGTGGGACCAATAAAAGAATCTTCAAATGAAAGTGATCCTTTGACAGGCTGATCTTTCCCTTTGATCTTGGAATATGATTTCGAGTTTATTGATTCAGTATGGGGATTAGACACCGAATCATTTGTACGATCAGCTCGTTTTTTAAACATTGGTCGAAAGGGTGTTGTGCTAGATTCATCATCTTTTGTGGTTAATTGTATTGACGATGTACTCTTTTCGGCGTTTGGCGGGTTTGAATCTCCGATTATCATATTAGGGGGCTCCTAAAAAATGAGTAGATTTATTAATTTCATTATCTTGAGGTTCGAATGATTCAATAAGTAAACAAAACCTTATGTTTAGGTGCTTTGTCATTATCACCCTCCGAATCCGAGGTACCGAAGATGGATTCGAACAATTCCATAGCCGGCCTTTTATGTTGTACGTCGACCTCTTTAACATCATATAATTGACTGGATGTTTCGAATTCGGCTTGGGAAAATTTTTTGGTATCGGAATTTTCATTATCATTAGTCGAATCGGTTGAGCTACCAAACTTTTTTAGTGACTGTGAATCTTGGTTTAGAAGAATATCGTCCATTGTTTCCTTGCTGAGAGCCTCCTTCTGACCCTTTTGTGTTTTTTCAGTATAAGAATCATCTTTATGATCCGGATGAGGATTTGCAACATTAAACCGTTTACATAGAAGTCGAGTAGGATAGAAGGTTGTTCTTGTTCTTGTAAGAGCCCCAAACATGTTCATCCTTGCCGCAGTCTCTGCCGACGATTCTAATTGCGCCGTTGAATCTCTGTTTGTATTTGTATTTTTTTGATTATCTGACCGGTTTTCCGAACCAGGCCTGATACCTGAAATAGGTTGTTTGAATTCATCGGATGACGATTTACTACTAGTAAATCGCGAGGCCATCATTTTAGATATCGGACGAAATATTCTTGCAGCTTGTGTAAATTCATTCAGTTCTTTGATATATTCTTCTGAGGTGAGTTCCTAAGAGTGCAATACAATTAATTTTTGCTACATAAATTATCACCTTTCCATTTGTAATTACAAAATGTACCTCTGGCTGTTTCAATAACTCAATTGATGTTATCTCTGCTTGCGCTTCTAAAAATTGTTTATATCGTATTTGCTTCTTTTTATTGTCCTCAAAAGGAATATACCCTTTTAAAGCCTGTAGAGCAACTTCTTTTTCTACCTTTGGAATGTTAACTTTGAAATTTTTCTCTGCTGGTTTTTCGCCTGTTGTATCAATCGCACATCCAATTAAATTGCCCAATCGCTCCTTATCACTTCGGGATACGTAATCAAATACTGATCTTGAAGGGGCATTCAAAGGAACCTCACCTAACAATGCTCCCCGCTACATTTATATTTTTAAATTAGAATTAGACTTAAAACAATGCTTAAAAATGACTTGATTCAGTTTAGGCAAATAACCTGTTCTGCAATAACAGCTAATGTCGTCTGCTTTTTTGATATGGCCTTTTGAACCAAAGGGGAAACACCATCGGTATTTTTGGCATCATCAGATGAATCAAAACGATGATAGGGAGTAAAATCTTGCGGTAACACGGGAGGACTGAACCTTAAATATTGAAACAATTTTTTTTTCCTTTTAGTTTGAATGTGGAAAACAAAGTACATCTTCAATATATCGTTCTTACCACTTATCAAGAGTGACAGGTAGTTTAGCCAATACAAATCCATTTAGAGGCAAACTTCCGCCATGACCCAACTTTTTCTCCAAGGTCGAAAGCTGTATAATTTATAATATCAGAATTTTCTTTTGATTTGACATTTGATTGATTTGAACTACTCAATATATACTTTTTTTTCCTTCGGAACAGTGTTTTTCTTGCCTCCCATAACAATCATGTCGTCATCTTCCATCAACGAAGTATGATAATCCTTCATAAAATTCTCCACATATAGATTATCATCATCATCGTCATCATCATTAAAGGCATTCGCCTCTATTGAACCTAAAATTGATTAAATTATTAGTCAAAAGGAAAATTTTATTTATGTAAAATTCAATATTCAAATTATATACTCTGTAGAGGCAAGAGTTTTCCTGGTAAGAAGATGATTCAAATGTGAGTTTTTTTTTTTTAAAAAAAAAAAAAACTTATGCAATCCAAAATAATAAAATAAGTGATTATCCAGATACCTTTATTCCTCAAAAGAAACTCTGGTGCATTTTTGTATGGATCGAAACCCAGGCCATAGGTGTTATTTTTTTGGTCAAAATTAATGATTTCCGTATTGTTAGGTGTAAACACAAAAGATGAAAATCGACCATCATCTTCATCATCATCGGCTTCTAGATCTACATAAAAATTAGTATGGTAGTCATCAAACTTACTAAATATGAAACGTGTATTTATCAAACCTTCATCGTGTTTCTTTTTTTTTACAATACGGGGTCCTATTCCTTGACCTTCACGCCATCCCATAACCTTTAACAACCGCATTCCTATAAAAATGGTGAGACTTAATTACCTTACAATATGAGAAATGTAAATATTTTTTTGATGTCGGGCTTACCAACAGGTTCTTTACTTGGTAGCACCAAATCATCGATTAATTTATCCGGAAAGGTGCCCAACACACTGATAATCACAAACAAAAATATCAATTTTTCAATGCTCACGAATAATTAATTGCTTGTTTTGAATTTGCTTACCTTCTTCCTTCCATCATCGAGTGTTTTTTTTCTAATTCGCGTTCCGTTGATCCGAATGAATCAAATTCTTCTGTAGTAACAAGCCGCTTATTTTGCTCCAATTCCTGAAAAACAACTTTGTTCGATTTGTGACCAACGATAGATAGATGCTGACAAATAAATTTAGTTCACCTCAAGATCCTCCTCATCCATAAAGTCTTTGGGTTCGAAAGTCTTTCGTTCAGATCTGTTATTCCGCGAAGAAACGAATGAAGAAGGAGTCCATCCTGAATTATTTTTTGCGATTGAATGTAGTTACTATGACGACTAAATTAGTATTTACGATCTACATACTTTGAGCAATCTCACCAAGTTATTAATGACGTGCCTTCTTTAGATCCAACTGTATTAAAGTAACCAGCAGACCAACCACCTTTAAAGGCACCATGAAAACGTCTTACACCTTGTTCATCGCGAGCCTACATGGAAAGTTGAATTCTAGCGTTAAGAAAATTTCGATTGTAAGAAAAGAGAAACAATCTAAAACTGACTTCTTGTTTCCATATCGGTTGAAATTTTCCTTTATCTTGTTCACTTGAATCGAGGGAATAAGGAAGCTCGGTTCCATACACAACAAATGTTTCGTTTGACGAATCCTCCTCACCATCGTCGACTTGTGCTTTTTGTGAAGACATGAAAGCTAAATCAAGTAATTGATTCTCGTTGTTTTAAATAGGGTTCAATAATAATCAATAATAATCATTCTACTATAAATTTTATAATTGCCTTATATAGTAATTGGATCGACAGTATATGCTTTCTACATATGATTTTAAAATTATAAAGTTTAACTGTTAATATAATATTTTTAATATAATATAATAATATATGATGCATAATATCAAAATAAATATGAAATTGAATTTTTTATTTAAATAAAATATATAAGAAATATAAATAATAATAATAATAATAAATAATAATAATAATAATAATAATAAGAAAATAAACCCCATAAAATCTTTCACATGACAACGAAAGTCACGAGATAACATTTACCTGTTTTATAAATTAAAAACTGGAGAATAAGACCTCCGATCATTTGGACATACTTACGTACTTACGTATATAAATGTCGGAGAGCACCTTGTTTTGTTCGTTGTAATTATTAAAATCAAAAAATGTCAGAGTACACAACAGAAGGAAATATTGCAAACTCAAGAAAATCCTCCCAGCTTTTGTTCTTTGGTACCTTAACAGCAAACAACTTTGACAGCAATGAATCGCCAACGGAGTCAATAGAATGCATAAGATTCCAGCAGCGTGTTGTCTTATCCGAAATTAGGATTGTACCAAACGATTTTCGTCCATTTAAGGGAAGCCGTAAAGATCATGCCGGGTGAGTGAAATGAACAATTAAGATTTTTTTAGAATGCCATAACTAAGGATTTCGCGTGAAAATTCATTAACATTCATCGAATTAGTCAAACTTCGCCAAGTAAATTCGAACTTCACCTTCTCATTCATAAGACACTTATTTCGGATCCAACCAAGCTTCTTGAAAAACGACCACCTACATTACCTTTGCATCCTTTGACAATTTCTTTTGACGAAACAAAAGGATATTTGAGTTATGATCTGACCCTATTTCCAGAAGTATGTTTCTTAATTAAGTGTGAATATGCAAATACTTCATCTATCTGATAACCTTTCTAAAATTTTTATATAAGGCAACCACAAGATTCATAATTCTGCGCGGGAATTATCACGCTGTAACATTGTGCGTGTATGGTAGAGTCGTGGAAACTAGATCCTCTATCTTAAAAAGTAAAGGACAATACTCCAATTTATTGAATAACGAATCACAAACAAATAAGGAAGAAAACGAGGATAGTTCTATCCAAAACGGAACTGATTGTTTTCCTTTGAAACAACCCTTATCAGAACCGCGATCTCCATCAAAACTAGTTAATAATCGCGCAAAAACAGTTAATAACGAGATTTCTGGTGAAATTAAGACGATCGCGCAAGAAAGTGAGATTACTTCGACCGATAAAAACACTATAAAACCTGAAAAATATAATCGTGATATGACAATGGACGGTGTTCAGAAAGGACAAACCATACCATTTATGGAATCTACTTCTAGTGATGTAATTCTCGTAGAACAAAAAACACCTGAACAACAAACAGTTCCCATGGAGATGGATGGATTCTATTCGGATGAAGGATCGAGAGACATTTCAGATGTTGATCGTGTTGGGGTCTTATTAAAGAATGAACGCCCCGGTGCCTTCAAAATTCTGAACCCGTTAAACTCGGGAAATAAGGATATACTTGTGGTAATTTAACATTCTTAACACTATCCGTCTCTTTCCCGAAACGTATTCGGATAACAATACATTTCTATGATTTGTTATCATATTTTTACACAGTATCACAATTCGCCGGACGAATCCCTCTTATCTCACTCGTTTTTTGATCATGAGTTTAACAAAGCCTGGGAGGACTTTTCCCATCACTTAGAAGATCTCAAACCTTTGTTATCCACAATAACGGACGAGAATGTAAAATATAATGGGAACGTTGATGAACGTAGTGTTGTAAATGTGATGGCGGAACTACTTCAGCAGATAACTGATGTAGTCGTTGAAGGATGTCTTTGGGCACGATTCCGAGGTCTTGAGTATAATGGTGAGAAACGTATATTATGTATTCGGTAATATGTGGCGAATGGTTTTATACTTACGATATCACGTTGCTGTTGCTCTACAGATAAACTAGATATATTAGGAAAATGTGTTCTATTCGCGTTAGACATTTCATCGGGAAAGGTGAACAATCACTGATCGTTTTGTTTTGATATCAAAAAAAAAGATTGCATTGATACGAGTCTGGTGTAATATTGATGCTAGCGATTTTCAAGTCTATCAGTTCTAATTAATGTGCCGTAATATGACAGTCTTCTATAAAATTATACGAAAATGGCCTTGGGTTGTTCAGCAAACTGTGTGCATGTGGTGAGAATTTTCTATGTTCTTCGGCGGTAAGTGTGAAATTTTATTGGCTTCATATATATCCCATCTCACAATATGCATTTATTAACTTTGCTGCTTCTTCAGGTTCAATCCTGCTTGAAGCTTGTGGTCCCTCTATTAAATGAACAACACGTGTCCTCGACCCTACAGTTACAAATACTTCGAGCATTATTGAAAAGCATGGATGAAACAAAGGTGGTCGAATGCCTTATAGGGTGGTGTGATCGAACTCATAGTTATGATTCATTATATAAAACTTATATCTTACCAATGCTACAAGTCAAAAGGTTACCTAATAGAATCTTGCATTTACTCCAAGCGATCGTCCGTAAAGTTTCGGTGTACGAAGCATGTACATTAATTCAACAGGTTGCAGATAACGAATTACAGAATGAAACCAGAAAAAGAAAAAAGAAATCAGACGAAACGACGCATAACGGAAATGTGCTTAAGAATGAAATTCCTAGTGAAATTGCGCAGCAAGATATTAATTTCATGATGTTGGAGGATAATATACAGGATCAAGATGATGCTGAACTAATAATTGAGCAATTGAGTGATTGTCTGCAGATAATATCCAAGGCCGCCTTGTATCACATGGCATTAGGCTCAAATGAAGATGTTAATCAAGATAATTATTCCATATTTTCATTTCAATATCTTACATTTTGTCGACTCTTTCCAGCAATCACAATCATATTAACGTCTCAGAAGTTGCGGAATTGTTCCCGATTTCACGAGTTTGTTAATTCCCTTGGAAGGTTATGTGTTGTTTTATTGGGAGAGCAGGCGGGTATGCTATATCTAGCCAAACAATTGCAACAATTGCGCGATCCATTTTGCGATAGTTTATTGGCCATTTGGGCAAACCTTTTATGTTATCAAAGTGATGTTACGGATTCTCCAGAAGAAGCGGAAGATACAGATCAAACTTCCATGCAGATTATTAATGAAAGGTGGTCTGATGTAAATGAAATAAGAAAAACCCCGGGTATAGGTGATATCTGGTGTGGACTAGGCCAATCCACAACGGGTGGGAATTATGATGAGGATTATGACTATATTTGCGACAATGAGGATGACTGCTTTGTAAAAAACAACCACGAAGAGGATTCTTATCTGAAGAAAGCTCGACAAATACTAAAAATGAAGAGCTACGGAGCCATGGGATCAGAATCGGACTGTCTGGACAATTTTGCCATTCCCTCCGATCAATTAGTTATTCTACTAGTTTATCATGTAAACTCAATAGCCATTGTTGAAAAACTTTTAGAGATAGGGCGTCATGGATCAGAAAATCCAAACTACGATCATTACCAAAGGGTTATCACATTGTTAAGTGATCTGTTCGAGATGACTACATTTAACGTGGGAAAACAGGTGCATAATTATTCAAATTAATAATTTGTATCATCAACATTATTTGGATGGGTCAATTTTTTGACATGTTTCAAATTGTTAGGCTGTGGTGTCGACACTTATACATCTTGATGCTCTTCCAACCATTATATCTTATTTGAATCTCAACCCTTCACAAGAAGGAGCGTCGCCTCCTGATCCAAATTCCATCTCAAGTGCAATTAGCCGAGTATCGCTAGAATTGCTGGAAGCAGTGGTTAAATTTTTCCCGGCATTTCCTTATTTGTTATCTTCCAACATACATGAACTGTTGCCTTCGTTTACTTCACAAGAAAATAACTTACGTATTTTATGGGATCCAATTGTGGTCTTTCATGAGACTGGAAACATTCAAGGAGTGATTGATATTATAAAGCATCAGAAGTATTACCCTGAATGCTTACGGGATCACAGCGCAGTAAACCAGATTTTGGTTGCACTGAGGTTGCTCTTATCTTATACGTATTTGGAAGATGGAATTTTACAAATATTAAAGGCACGAATGGATGACTACAGTGGTTTGGACAATGGTGATAGTTTCTTCGTGTTCCTCTTGAGATTATTGAATCATGCAGCTGAAGTACTTTCGGACATGAACGATTTCGTGGTTTATACCGACCACCAAACCACTTCCGACCTTACATCCAACATAGATGATAATAATCATCTTGCGCAAGATGAATTCAGAATTCAAGACGCGATTAAGTTTTCCGGTAACTCGATAGAAATCAATAAAAATGATCATCCTCAAAACTCAACATTTGCGTCATCTTCGGGAGTTTTCCTGTCTTCTGAAATTATTGATCTTCGAAAAGAATTACTCGACTTGGTGTGGTTTAACTTAATATTAATAAGAAGATTTCTCAAAGTCGTTTATGGTGATCTAAACAGTAACGTTGCCAAACGTCATTTTAAAAATATCTACGGAAAAGAAGAATTTCCCGACGACCCACTTCCATCTCAGAAAAAATCTATGACACGGAGTTGTATCGAATCCTGGTTGGCGATTATTGTTGCTTTAGATCATTTGGATGGGAGGTTAAGCGATCAACTCGGAGCCGTTGCACTGCTCGGAAATGATCATCCGGTGAAAAGCGGACAGTCTGCGCAAATCGCCAGAGTCCGTGCCCTGTTGCTAAATATGTTTGGTCTTTTAACCCAAGTAATCATCGAGGAAAAAGATTCCACACGAAGTGAGCTCCAATATCGTTCCCGACTTTTCTCAAACTTTTCTGGGCGACACGTAGTAAAATATTTAATCGATTTCATATTTGATGCACCCAACAATTTCTTAAGTGGACTGCATATCCTTAGTGAAATATTGCCTACACCCCTTACTACGTATCATCGATTGCATGGATCCAACGTTCAAAAGAATGATAGTTCGCCGATTGGAAACGATAATTATTTTGATACTTGTGAACCGTCTACCAGCTTGAGCGACTCTCATCCTGAATCCCAAATGCTGCGTGACTACTGGATCAATCAATTGATTCCTTTGAGAGATGATTTGATGCAACTTGTTAAATGCCTTTCACCTGCGAGTTCAAAAGTTATACATGTCATGCTCAGAACGGTAATTTGCCAACTCGTCGATCTCGATGTACATGACCGAGGGATAGGCAGAGGAATGGCTAAAATTCTCATCAATGGAGTTCATGAAACTCTCGTGGAACTCCAACTTACCTTGGATAAAGTTGACAACAGAAGGACGAATAGCAGTAATAGCGATGAACCTGAAAAAAACATGGAGTCAATTGATGAGAATTCGGTCGAGTTCGGCGCTAAACTATCATTACTTGGTCGATGGTTAAGTATGTTGATATCATTAGGAGGAAACTCTTTGGGTAGGGCTCTTTTACTTGACTCACTATCTGGCACCAACGAAACGATTCTACTGGCAGAGAAAAAAACATCTGATATACAGCGTGGCCTTATTCCTATGTTATTAAGCTTGATTAACGCGAGCAGTGACTTGGGTTTTATCTATGATTTGATAGCAGAATTCTTTTTTTCAATTTGTAATCACACCATAAGTGTCCCGGGATCGAATATGCCCGGAATAGAGGATCTTGGTCTCATTATAGAAACATTGTTGAATTGTGTGAAGCAAGGAAAAAATGGGAGACTCCAAGTTCAATCGTTACTTATTCTACAGAAAATAGCTGAAACAGAAATAGGTGCTTTGATTATTCTGACAAATCAAGAACATTGCCAACTAATTAGCAACATGATCACTTGGGTCCCCGAAATCTTAAGCTCTTCGGACTTAGTAATGCAAGATTTAAATATTGCATATAACTCGATTGTCTTTATACTAAGGATTATTACATATGTACCCTGTGATCACAAAAGTCATGACGGCCCCGCTGAAGTTGATATAAAGGGACATAAATCTTTGTCCCTATTGATTAATGCCCACGACAGCCCAGAAATTCTCCTTAAGACTTATGAATCGGTTGGACAACAGGTTCTCGAATTTTCATATGAACGTAACGAGAATGACGAAATTATATATGACCTTAATATGTGCCGCTCCATTGCAAATGTTATTCAATCATTCATACAACATTTAAATTCAAATATCCTTATGTCAAATCGATCGAATGATGTTACCAGTCAAGAAGAAATTAAGCAAGAATTTAAGATGAGATTGGATAAGGTGCTCGAAAATAGAAGCCTTGATATCCACCAGGATTATAGTGGGTCGAAAAGCATGGGGTCAACTATTGGTTTGTATTCTGTGTACAAAATAATTGCATTATTAAAACATACATGAATAATATATTTTTCTCAAATACAGATGACTATCCAGAAATTCCTTTCTACGATGTGATTGATGACCCAGCAGGAAAGGAAGTTGATGGCGGATTATTTAATGAACCTAATATTGAGATAGATTTCGAAGTATTTGCCAAGGAGATGCTTCCTAATTTCCAATTTCAGAAAAAAATGAAAATGTCTGGTGACAACGCAACCAAAGGCAGAAAACTGAAGTCTCGTACTGTTAGCAATCTTGGTGGTGTTGCTTATGAAAGTAATGCCCGTAGAAACCTAGGCGGTGGGAAAACGTATCAAAAGAACGAATTTCGCAGTATCCATAACAATCGTAAGGCTAATACCAGTCGTCCGCCATCAGTTCACGTAGATGATTTTATGTCCGGGAAAATTCCCGTCAATCAACAACACCCAGATATGTTAAATACTTCATCATTGCCTACAACTAATTCGGTACCCACTACCACCGCCACAGCCATCACAACCACCACCGCTGCTGTCACAGCGCAACAAAAGAAACTGAATGTTCCAAACCGTCTTCAGACTCCAAATAAACGTGGAGGGATAACGACAGTTGTTGGTTCTCAAATAACTGCAAGCAACCGTGGGGGGCGTGGTCGACGTTCAAGCACTAGTTCAGTTGTTACATCGCGTGGCGCCTCCCGTGGAGCTAGTAGTAGTGGCCGAGGGGCAGGTGGAATCGGAAGAGGTGGAAATACAAATACAAATATTATGGGTGCTTGGGAAATGGGAAATAATACTCCGTGGACTGGAGGTCCACCATCACTTCCCGTGATAATAGCTCCACCAATATCTAAATATATGGAATTTGATAGACAGCGAGATTATACTAGATATGATGGTCAAACGATGAGAACTGGGTATTATGATAATCAATATTACGGTATGCCTTCCCCAATAGCACCACCGTATGATCGTCCCCCCGTACAACAATCCGCGCCTGGTGTGGGACCTCGAATTAAGGGTGCAGGGGATAATAGAGGACGAACAGTTCCGCAAGAATGGCCTCGCTCTATGGTCTCACAACCTACACGAAGGCCAGAACGCCCATTCGGTAGACATAAATAAAATTTTTGTTTTTTCGAGCTAGACATTGAACCAATTTTTTTTGAATATTTGATATATCTCTTTGAATTAAATCTAATTAAATTCACAATTGTCGATAATTTGTTTTCTTACATTTTTTTTGAGATAAATATTGTTACTAAAATGTTATCTATAAAATACAATACATCATTTAACAAAGACAAATTAAAGCCTGAACATTTTTATTATTGATTATTGAGTTAATATCAAATCAAAAATTCTGCTTATTATAAAAGGTAAGCAGTTGATATCAGGATATATACTGTAGCATAATTTTAGGGTTAAAATGAAGTATAGGAATCACCTATATTATATTTTATAATCAGATTAACATACAATGTTTCTTTCAGGAAACCATATACATATACACATTTTGAAATAAATTAAGTATATACTGTAATTAAATTACGTCTTGATTTATTTTTTTATATATTATTAATTTACTGTATGTATTTTTTATTCTAAATTTCATTGTGCATCAAAACATTGTATCCAGTAAAATTGTGAATAAAATTACAAGAAACAGTATCTAAAAGTTTAGAATCAGTAGATCTTGTTACAATTAGAAAATATGCTAGATAAGCTTGATATTATATGAATTATATAGAAATGGAATTACAAGAAAATTAGCTAAATATATTATTTAAAAAATTAATCAAATATAAATTTTATCAATTAATTCCTAATTTTATTGGTTAAAATCATGTGATATATTAAAAAATAACTTATTATATACAAGAAACATTTTTTATTCAAGTTGTTTATACACAATTTTTCAAGAAATTCCTAACAGCATAAACAGATTTAAAATTATACAGTATTTAATATTTCTTATATATATGAATTAATATATTACTAATATTAGACCTGTGGATCTGTAGTGTGGTGGTTAACACTTCATAGATCAAATCACAAGATACCAGTTCAACCCCATGTGAAAGTGGTTGAATAGAATTAATATAGTATCTGGCACCATAACCTGTATAAGTATTGTTTTTCATGAAAAGCCATTTTACATGCTGATCCAGCGAGCGTTGAGATTTTGATTTTCAAAAAAGGTGTTGTGATGTAACAATCATCCGGTTGGTACTATAATAATTACTAGAAGTTGTAAGATGTATGAGGCATCTGGTTTAGTACAAGATGGTTTGATAATTGCTTCTTATAATACCTGGTGTCTTTTCTACAAAAGGTTATCTGAAAGCCCTATCCCAATCCAGTAAAAAGCCCACTCTTGTATCACTTATTTCAAGAAGGCATCTAGTATTTCCAAGTAACCATAAAAAAATTACTGTAGGTTGTAAATATATAGTTGTAAATATCTTGAATGTCCCTGAGCTATAATAGAAAGACAAGAAATTAAATGGTCAAGACCAGCTGCAGGTAGTATAAAGCAGTAAGATAATCTTAAGTAGAATTTTATTCATCAAAAAAAGATATTATCTCCAGTTCCTCACTTTTCCTTTCCCTTAACATATCCCCAAATAAAACCTAAATAGCACAGCAATGCTTAACATACTAGTGGAGCCTTGGCACACTAGTCATTGGTTCCTTAGCTATAATCCAGATTATAGAATAAACCAATAACTCAGAGCTGGAATTTGGAGAAATTTCAATATAGTTTGATATACAAAATAAATAAAAATTATAGCAATAATTATGTATTTAATATGTAATTAATTTGCAAATCTCTACATCAATAAAAATATATTGAGTAATGGCTCCAGTTAGTATAGAAAAATATATATATATATTACTAATATTTTAAATATTTTGTCTGAAATGACTATATATTCCTATTTAAGACAAGTCAATTATGAATTGGTATAATATTTTTATTTGTTTCCATATATGATAATTTATATTCATGAAAAATCTTGTTAAATTTGAATATAGATTAAATAAAAAAAAATATATATTAACATCAAATAAATAATTTTTATATAATGGCTATTATCTATAAACTATACAGTTCAAAATTTTAGATATAGATCACCATGTGATTTTTATAATAAATCACATGACTATATATTTTTAACTATATATATACATGCATTACTCATTACTTCTACAACTTAACAAAGATGATCTTAAAATCCTCTATAGTGAGAAGATCACTGTCATGTATTCCTCAAATTGACCAAGAACAAAATGGGTTGAAGAGAAAACCTGCAATAACTCTTTGTAAAGTTCGCTAAAAAAATCAAAAAAAAAATTTGAGAGCATTTTTGTTATACTATAGTCTAAAAGAAATATTATTAAAATATGGTCCTGATAGTGATAGTATTGAATTCATTCTGCTATTCATCCTTCCAACCTATGAGATTCAAGACAATAATAAGTATTTTAATGGTTTATTCCCTTCCGTTTTTTTAACTTCTTTGTGTAAATAGCATTTAGGTATTATTAATCATTTCTTGGCTTTATTTTCTAATTTTAAATTAATTAATTGTTTTTTATTTAATAATTTTTAATTGGGATAAGGTGTGTAAAATTTAATTTAAATTTAATTATTAAATTTATTAATTTATAAGTATTTAATGATTTATTAATCAAAATTTTTTTTAATACTAAATGATTCAAGGAACATATTTGCAGGCCTTTAAAAGGCTTAAAAGTGGACAAGATTATTTAATGAATATTATAGACGAAAACTTATAAGAATTTGCTAGAGAGGGTAAGTTATTATTCTTATGAGCCGTTTTCTTGAATGCTATTCAACCTTTCATATATTATATTTTTTTCATGATTTAGATCTTAGAAAATTTTGTATAGATTATGCTGATATTACTCCTGAGGTATATAAAAAATAAGACATCAAATTTTGTAATGCTTCAACAGCATTTACAGACCCTAATCAGAGGGTTGCTGTTATTTCTAATCAAATTGAAAAGGACAGTGCAACTGCAATTGAGGATCGCTCACAAGATGGAGTGTCTAAATGTATAGCCACCCTAAAATATGCTGGAATTAAAATTTGGATCTTGACAAAAGACAAAATAGAAACAGGATTAGCATTGGTTTCTTTACCTGTTTGTTGGCCAGGAATATGAACCTTATTATCATTTATGAAGGTACATATGGAGAAACAGGTAGTGCCTTTGATTAAATGCAAAGTGCAGTGAAAGTTTTTTCCTACCAATCAAGAAATTCTGAAAAGTATAAGATCAGTACAGGTGCTTCCTGTTATTTTATTTAATAATGCACCCTGACCTTCCTGATTTGTATCTACAAAGTAAGCAATCATTTCTCCCAATCCACATATCCCAAGGAGTCCCGGCGTATCCTACGACTCACAAGAACAACCTTTATCTACCCTACTACTCCAAGAACACCTTTGCTGCAACAATATTTATCTTTTCCAATTTCACCCAAAACACTTTCTTTAACACCACCAGAAGCCATATATCATCACAAAAATTTTGATGATTCACCAGCACTATATTTAAAAACAAAGAATTCTCGCCCATTAAATGAGCAAGATTCTATGGGAAGAGAAATGGATGATACATTAAAGTATTATTATGATAGTGAGACTGAAGATAGCCCAAATGACATTGCCAAACCAGTATACTCTGCTGAAGCATTTCCTGTTAAATCAAATTATGGTTTGTGAACTTTTATTGGTGTTACATTGATAAAGAAGAAAAAAAAAATTCATTATTTTTTCAATATTGTCAATTAAGGTTTTTATTCTAGTCATATCAATACAAAGAGTAAAGTGCATAATAACTTGAAAAGCTCTCTTTATTTAAACACTATAATAAGTATCTCTGTTCATTTAATTATATTGTAGATCTAAATGATGATTCCATCACTTATAATGTGTCTTTACACAGAATATCAAAAAGAACCATGAATATCCGACTTATTCTTACAATGATATCTTATCTGCATTTGGCAATGAAAGTGATAATTATAATTTATATTATCTACATGTTCCCAATGGAAATCAACAATTTTGAACAGATTATGTTACATGGGGTTCAGATCATCAAGTATTCGTGTCAAAGAAAGAAATAGAAGATATTTTTATTGATTTGGCCAATAAAATTGGTTTTCAAAAAGAGAGCATGTGCAATATGTATAATCACCTCATGTATATGTTAGACTCAAGAGCTTTGCGAATGCCTTCATCTCAGGCTTTGTTAACTCTTCATGCTGATTACATTGGTGGAGAAAATGCTAATTATCGGAAATGGTATTTTGCCACTCATATGGACATGAATGATGATTTGGCCAATGCAAGAAGTAAAAAATATACTCCAGATCTGAAAGAAGATAATCTCAAAGAAAAATGGAATCAATGAATTAATTAGATGTCACAGTATGATCGCATACGTTAGCTTGCCTTATGGTTCTTACTGTAGGGAGAAGCTGCACAGATTCGCTTTACAAGTGAATACTTGTACTTTTTTTTTTTTTTTTTTTTTTTTTAAATCGCAAATAGGCATTAAATGCGAGACATTTATTAAACAAAAGTTTATCATCAT